TAATTACATAATATGTATCGTAATTTTTTTTAGTTTATATGATGCAGCAACACAACAAGCTATTGCACGTTATGAAGTGCAACGTATTCTGTTTTATGCACGTGGTGAGAGTACTGGTTCATGTGCAGCATGTTTTGCTTTTACATGGTCACACGGTGATACTTTAGAATCTGCCATTTATCAATGTCATGTTTTCCGCTGTGATATACCAGAAGCGGTACGTTTTACACTAATTATCATATATATGTAAATAAAAACTATAATTATAGAGCTATATTCTATAAATACTTTCTTGATTTCATAATTTATTATAAGCATTTTAATATATAAAGTATGTTATTGATATTAAAACATTTAAAAACACATATGTTACGAGAGATAAATATATTTTGTCATTTTTAAATACATGTACATATACATATATATATGTATAATATTAATATGTATAAAATAATGTACATTTTAATTTATGTAGGTCGGACAAGTATCAGCCTGTTTTTCAAAAGCATTCCACAGAATACCGCGTTCAATGACAAGTTCTTTAACAGGCAGTGATTTTAATGGTTTCAATGCTGGTGAAAAAGTTAATTCTAGAGTATTTATTTTTGAAGTCACTATGGAAATAAAAGAAGAGGATGGAAAAGGTAGTTTTAGTACAGTTCCTAAGGATAGAAATTGTTTCAAATTACGAAGTAATGTGGCAAAACAAGTTTGTTTGAGTATCCAGCAAGTCTCTAGTAAAGAAGGTGGCATTACGCTTGAAGTCGAGAGATGTTTCGGAGTTCTTGTTAGTCCTGGACGAAATGTTAAACACAGTGATATGCGACTACTCGAGATGGTAAAACGAGATTCACACCAGCAAGTTAATTTTATGTCTATAATCAGCTCAGATGTTCGCAATATTACAACAATTTTGCAGCAAGTTAATACTGGACCAATAATGCAAGACAAACAATGTTATAATATTTGTGGACGTTGGGATCCTGCGGATCCCGCTTTGGAGACACTTAATATAGAAACTCCCAGAGAGGGTAAAACTTTCATGACTATAGCCGTCGATCTGGTTATTAGAGATATTCGAGAGCCAGTAAGATTTGTGATAGAAACATCAGTTAAAGTATTTCCGCAAAACGAGAGATTTTGGTATTTTAATAAAAGGAATCTGGTGCAACAATTTTATCTTAATTCAAAAGAGGTGAGCGATAAATGTATTTATAAATAAATATATTTTAGTTTGTTACATTTATATATATGTTATTTTTCATTTCTATATTAATTTTTTTATAATAGATAATTTCTGGAGATGGTACAGAGATACATTATGAAGTACAAAGTATAGAAACATCTGGTGAATTAGATAGAAACAGATTAAATCTTGCTTTAAATCTGGCATCTTTAATTAGATCGCCTTCTTTAACTAGTATTGACACACTTACACCTAAAGAAGAAATAGATTCAGGTAATAAATTCAACATGGAAAAGAATTGTCTTATTAATTTAATAATACAAAATATATATTTACTAACGTTTTGATTTCTACGTTTAGATGGGGATGAACCTATGTTAAGTGGTACAGGCGAAGTCTCTAAGGATTGCTCGGCAGATGAACTGGCTAGTTGGGCTGAAGTTTTAGATAGTTGGCAAGTTAACGAGCAACGTCCAAAACTTCTTATAAAACTGACAAAACAAGGAATTCCTGAAGCTTTACGCGGTGAAGTTTGGCAACGTTTGAGTAACTGTGACAATTCACAAGAGATGATGGACAAATATAGAATGTTAATTACGAAAGTAAGTACTTTGTATAATATCATATAGTAAAACATGGTTAATAATCTTTTCTATAACATGAATTTTGATAATAAATATACAGGAAAGCAGCTGTGAGAGCGTAATTTTAAGGGATATTAATAGAACATTTCCAGCCCATGATTTCTTTAAGGAAACAGGTGGTTTAGGGCAAGACTCTTTATACAGAATAAGTAAAGCATATGCTGTTCACGATGAAGAAGTTGGGTATTGTCAGGGCCTCAGTTTCTTAGTTGCTAGTCTGTTACTCCATGTAAGTAGTTACTAAATAGTTTTATAGAAATTTGATTTTGTTGAAGTGGCAGTTGAGTTCTTTATAAATGATATTTTGTAACTTTTTGTAAAATATTTATTGACAAAAACGAATGGATTGGTATTTCTTTTAGATGCCCGAAGAACAAGCATTCTGTGTTCTGGTTAAATTAATGTATGACTATGGTCTTCGAGATTTATACAAGGATAGATTTGACAACCTTTACATGCGATTTTACCAACTAAATCGTTTAATAGAAGTAAGCCATGACCAATCTATATGTATAATAATCTGACATTTATATTACAATGAGTTATGCACGAAGCTACACTCTTTACATTTTGCTTCTAGGATCAATTACCGGAACTATATAAGCATTTCTGTGATCGCGGTGTAGAAACGCACATGTTTGCCGCACAATGGTTTCTAACTCTATTTACTGCTAGATTTCCATTATATCTTGTCTTTCATATCTTGGACGTATTTCTTTTACAAGGACTCGACACATTATTCCAAGTCGCTCTCGCTTTGTTGATGGTAGGCTATTAGAAACAATTTAAAAAGTTCATAAGATGTGTATATATATATATATATATATATATAGACAAATTATATAATTATTTTGTTAATTTAATTGACATTTTTCTTACATTTATTTTATAAATAATGTATATGCTAAAAAAAGTAATTTTATTTTTCAGCTTTGTAAAAAAGAATTATTACAATTAGATTTTGAGAGCATATTGAAATACTTCCGGGTGCACTTACCAAAACGTTGCCGAAACGAAGAAGTTGCACGCTATGTTATGAAGTTAGCTTGTTCAGTGACGTTAAAGAAACTGAAGAAATATGAAGCAGAATTTATGACGTTAAAAGGTAATTTTATATTCTATGTTTGAACTGCATACTTCCCTGTTCATCTTTAAACACAACATTCCATCAATTCATTAGGAAACACTATATATCATGTTGTACATGCATGTACATTTTATGTATAATTCAGCAACATTCAGCAATCATTGCTTATTGATTGTAAATTTATTGTCAATGTTGGTATAAGTTTTAGGCACATATAAAAACATTCGTACATATTACATTTAAAACCAAAGAGTCAAAGATTCTTGCATGGCAAGAATTATTACTAACATAACTACATATAAAATGCAACGAATTTTTAGGTTGTGCCATGAAACGTAAATATATGTAGAAATTTTCTTTTTGTAATTCTTAGAAAAGAATCTTTTTAATTTAAAATCAAATATAATTAAAT